ACAGTGTTCTGCTTCTCAGTGCTCCTATCGTTACCTGGCTTTTGTTTAGCCAGCAATGTTATGTAATCCTCTAAGTATTTAGGAGACTTCTTTGCTCTCTGTGACCTTCTCAGCTCTGGGTTACTAGCATGAGTTCCCTGACTGGAGGGAGATGTGAGCCTGTTCTCCTTATTTTGCCTTGGTGCCTTCCAAGGACTGTGCCCCGATGCCTGGCCTGCTTGCTTGCCCACCGGGCTCGTCAGGCCAGGGCTTCTGTCACTTTGTGACCTGGTTGACCTGCCTAGCTGTAGACCCTCGGGCCCCTTGAAGTGATAGCCACTGCTGGGCGTCTCTGTTGAACCTCCTAGGTCCGTCCAAGACCTGTCAGGAGGCTGACCATTCCCTGAACCCCGTTCTGTGTCCGGGCTTGTGTGGGTTTCTGTACTTTCCCAAAACTCAGTTACTCCCTGATTTGGGCTAGAGGTGTTGTAGTCGGGACTTGGTTCCTCGACCACCTCCCTGTATGTTTGACCCCCTGTAGAATTTGGGGTAAGGTCAGGCCAACCTTGGGGATTGTGTGCCAGCTCTCTTGCGGGGAATGATTTGTTGGGATGCCCCCGGGTATCCTCCGTGACTGGAGTGCTGTGTGATGTGTGTGGAAGGTGAGTATGCCCCCGGGGTGACTCCCTGGCTGGAGTAGGCGTGAGTGCCTGTTGTGTGGGTAAGCTCCATGAATTCCTTTTCGGAGCAATTGCGGAACCCTGGGATGGGCCGTTTGTGGCTCCATCAGTGGAGATGGGCAGCAGCTCGTGCCCTTCCCTTTGCTCCAAAGGGTCCCCCTCCCCCCCTGGAAAAGACCCAGGAGTCTCATCTGAAAAGTCCCGCCTAGGGCGGAGTTGGTCGATGTGCCGACGCAGGACACGACCGTTGTCCAGGGCAACCTCGTAGGAGAGAGGACCTGTGACCCTGGAAATAGAAGCGGGGACCCAGGTATGACCAGGCCCGTAATTGTGAGCCCAAACCGGGGCACCCACAAGTAGTTGTCTAGGTGCCCTAGGATGTGAGGTAGATGAAGGCAGTCTGTCCGGATGCAACCGGTCAAGTTTAGTAGTAAGTTGACGCCCCCAGCGAAGTTCAGCTGGGCTTCTCCCTGTAGAAGTGGACGGTGTGGTGCGATAAGAAAGGAGAAAGTCAGCCAACCTGTGATGCCAGTCCCCGTAGGTGAGTCTTTCAAGGCGTCCTTTGTGATGCGCACCATACGTTCAGCCATACCGTTGGTGGACGGGTGGAAGGGTGCAGACGTGGCATGACGAATCATGTTAGCCTGTAAGAAAGCTTGGAATTCGGAGGAAGTGAATTGAGGGCCGTTGTCAGACACAATGACATCTGGAAGCCCGTGTGCAGCAAAAATCCCCCTCAGTACCTGAATAGTCTTTGCAGTGGTGGTGGATGAGACAGGTACAACCTCAAGCCATTTTGAATGGCTGTCAACAAGGACCAAGAAGAACTGGCCCTGAAAGGGTCCAGCGTAATCAATGTGCACCCTAGACCATGGGGACTGTGTTTCCTCCCATTTATGCACGGGAGCTTGGGGCATCTCTGGGCGAGATCGTTGGCACAGGTGGCATGCATGCACCTTAGCCTCAATATCCTTATCTAAAACAGGCCACCACAAGTGGCTGCGTGCAAGAGCCTTCATACGAACAATGCCAGGATGACCCTCGTGGAGGGATTCTAAGACCCTAGTCCTCATTGAGGAGGGAATGACAACTCTGTTTCCCCAAAGCAGACAACCCTGAGAAAGGGACAACTCGTTTCTTTTGGACCAGAAACTCTGAAACTCAGGACTAGGGCAGTGCTCAGGCCAACCGGACAAAACCCAGGAACGGACACGTGAAAGTGTGTGATCTGTACCTGTTTCAGCGGCAACATCCCTGGCACAAAGAGGGAGCTCGGGCAAGGCTTGGATTGATAGAATGTTGACAGCTGGCGCAGGGTCAGCTTCTACTACTGGCAGAAGCAATCTGCTGAGGCCATCAGCATGGCCCATTTCTTTCCCAGGCTTGTGGAGTAAAGAAAAATCATATGCAGACAGAAAAATAGACCACCTAAGCATTCTAGGGGAAATGATTTGGGGAGTCTGCTTACGTGTGGTAAACAGTCCCAGCAGAGGCTTATGGTCAGTAAAGACCGTGAAATGCCTGCCATAGAGAAAATCGTGGAATTTTTTAATTCCAGCGACAACAGCCAGAGCCTCCCTGTCTATCTGAGCGTAGTTGCGCTCAGCAGAAGACAATGTTCTGGAGTAATATGCAACAGGAACCTGAGTTCCATCAGACCTGAGGTGGCTCAGGACAGCTCCTACCCCGTAAGGGGACGCATCACATGCGATGCACACAGGAAGAGATTCGTTGAAATGTGCAAGTACACTGTTAGAAGTGAGCAAGGCCTTGACTTTGTTAAAGCAAGCCTCATGTGTATGTGACCACTGCCACACTGCTTGTTTGTCTAGTAGCCTGTGAAGAGGCTCAGCTACACTAGCTTTATGTGGAAGAAAAGAATTGTAGAAATTCAGGAGGCCAGGAAGGCCTGAAGTTCGGCCTTGGACTTTGGCCTAGGTGCTTCTAAAATAGCTGTCAGTTTGGATTCAGCAGGGTGAATCCCAGCAGCATCAATTTTGAACCCAAGAAATTCAGTAGAAGGCACCCCAATCTTGCATTTGTCTTTTTTGAGCTTGAGGCCTGACTTCCTGAATCTTAACAGAACAGCCCTTAGCCTTTCAGCTAGAATGTGTGTGGAGTCTCCTGCAATTAAGACATCATCAAAGTAGGGGCAAACCCCCGGTATGCCCCGCAGTGTGTTTTCCATTACGCTTTGGAAAATCCCAGGAGCGACATTCACTCCAAACTGCAGCCTTTTTACCTTAAAGGCTCCCCTGTGGGTCACAATAGTCTGAGCTATAGCAGCATCATCATCAACAGGCAGCTGTTGATACGCTTGAGCTAGGTCAAGCTTTGCAAAAACGCGCCCCCCCTTGAGGGAGGCCAGAATATGACTGACCACAGGAACAGGATAGGCATGTTGCTGCAATGCCTTATTCAGAGTGCATTTGTAGTCAGCACAAATGCGAATGTCCCCATTTGCCTTTAGAGGCGTGACAATGGGGGTCTCCCAAGGACTGGAATCAACAGGTTCTAGGATTCCCTGTTGAATCAGTTTGTCTAACTCAGTGTCAATTTTACTCTTTAAAGCAAAAGGGACCCTTCTTGCTTTAATTCTAATGGGAGTGACAGTGGGGTCTAGCTTTAAGGACACAGGGGGTCCTTTGAATGTGCCCAGCTGGGGGCTGAAAACATCTGCAAATTCTTTGCAGACTTCCTGTAGGTCGAGTGTTTGTAAACTGTTGAGTCCTGTGACGTGTATCCCCAGGGCCTCAAACCAATCGAGTCCTATGAGACTCGTTCGTTCACCCCCTACTACTAATAAGTCTAGTGGACCTTCAAAACTCTTGTATTGCACGTTAAGGGTGGCCTCCCCCTTAACACACACTCTTGAATTTTGAAAATCTGTTAACACAATGTCAGAAGGCCTTAACTTGGCCTGAGTTCCACTACCGGAACAAATCTTCCTAAATGTATGCAAGGAGATAATTGAAAAGGCAGACCCTGTGTCTAGTTCCATAGATAATGGAACCCCTTGTAGCTTCACCTTGAGTGACAGCTTTTTCTTAATTGGCTTGTGTGTGCCTGTCCTAAGGATGCTTCTTCGCGAAGCGCAAAACCCTACCCTATTCTGGCTGGGGAATCTGGTACCTTTCAGGCGCAGTTCTTCCTGAGGTTGTACCTTTCGTCGGCCCAGACACACAGCTGCAATGTGTCCTTGTTTGCCGCATGCCCGGCAGGTAGCGGAGCGGAACTTGCAGTCGGTTCTCCTGTGGCAACCTCCACAGCCGATGCACTTGAGCGGAGCTGAAGAGCTTCCCTTCTGTTTTTCTTCCGTCGTGGGGTGGAGACGGTCGACTTCCTCGTCCGGATCCTCCTCGGAGTTCCTTTGGGCGTCTTCCTGGTGCACGGATGCAACCTCTGGACTGTTTCTGATCGGCCGCATGTTCTTGATAGCGCCGCCTGCTGCTTCTTCTGCGGTGACTTCCCTTAAGGCATCTTGGTAGGACAGTTCTTCTTTAGCGAAAAGTCTCTGTTGTAGATCTCGATGCCTTAACCCGCACACGAATCGGTCCCTCAGTCGTTCTTCGAGGTCTTTGAACTCGCAGTGCTTGGCGGCCTTCCGTAATGCGGCGATGAATTCTTTGGCCGACTCACCGGGCCGTTGATCCCTCTGCTCGAAGGTGTGGCGCCATGCGATGACGGACATCTTGGGGTGGAAGTGCTCTTTCAGTAGCTTCTTCAGATCTGCGTAGCTGACAGACTCTACTGGAACAGGTGCTGCAAGGTTTTCTGCGATGTCGAAGGCGTCTTGACCGCAAACACAAAGCAGGGTGGCAGCCTTCAAGCTCTCTTCCCTCACTTGGTTTGCCTTGAAGTAGTTCTCCACCCTGGCTACGTATGACTCCCACCGCTCTGGATGTGAGACGTCGAATTCCGAAAGCCTTCCGATTTTCGCCATCTTCAGATCTTCAGGAGACGGGTCTATCAGCCAGCCTACCCCCGAATGCGCACCGGATTGGCGGGCAGCTGCCGAGTCGACGCCGTTCCTTTCCGCCGCTCAGGACTCCTTGGGTAAGCTTACACTTCTTCCTTTCCAGGTAGTGCAAGGCATCCCACCCTCGTCGCCAGTGTTGAGTCCTTGGCGGGAAGCAGACACGAGAAGCAGTTGAAGTTCTCAGTTTCCTTTATTCAGCGTTCAGCTTACAAGTAGATGGCTTCAGCAGCTCCCCAAACCTCCCAGCTTCTTATATAGACGCTTCCCGGGTAAATGTGTTACTTTTCCCGCGCCAGCACCCGCGCATGCGCACGGCGCTGGCGACAGCCTGTCTGGTCCCGGGCAGCTTTGCACCTGCCTGGGACTGCCTGCAAACGCCCGAGCCGTTTGCAAGGCTCGGGACATAACAGTTCCTATCAACTCAAACACTAATATTAAATCCTAATAAAAGCAGACTTTAAGGAGGTGATGAGTTTACACATAAAAAGAGAGATGTCAACATAAGACATGGCTAAGAGATGGAAACATTAGAGGTCACATTTAATACAGATGACACTGATGTGGTAATGAATAAAAAGATTTATCACCAAGAAGGCTGAATTATTGTCTCCCTACTTCTTGCAGAATATTCTATATTTAATCATATTTTTAAATGACAGTGATGGTGATAGTTCTAACATAGGTTAGAAAGTTTTCAGATAATTAATAATCACTAAAGTTATGTAAATAGAAAAAAGGTTATGGCGACTTAAATGGAACATCCCTAGTTGTGGGGAAATCATTCAGAATATTTTTTTTAGAATGTTCTGAAAGAAACAACATGCTCTCCTTTTTCAATGTACTCCAAGTACCAAGCTAAATAAAAGGAGTTTAAAAATGCATTTTCGATCCCTCAATCATGTAGCACAAAGAAATACATTGCTAGAGAACATATTAATACTGATATTTCTTGGCTAATTCATGGCACAGCATTTCAGTAGTTACCAACTAAGGAACAGAGAATAAGAAAACAAAGTACTAATTCAATTATTTTTGTGACATAGTATTAGAGTCCTCTTGGGCTATTGCTCTCATTTAGCTGAACTTCCTCCTCTGCCAATAATACATTGCTCAATTATTTATAAAAATACTTCTTCCTCTTCTTCTTCTTCTTCTTCTTCTTCTTCTTCTTCTTCTTCTTCTTCTTCTTCTTCTTCTTCTTCTTCTTCTTCTTCTTCTTCTTCTTCTTCTTCTTCTGTATTTGAATAAGTTCTTACTTCGTTCTTGTTATACAACAAAAGGTAAAGAAACAATAGTCACTTGGATATTAGCTTTAAGCTTCTTCAGAAGCTGATGCAAGAGTATTACTCTTCCATTCATGCACACTCCATGATATTGCTCAACTATATCCAGCAATACAGCAAATTACTCACTTTCCCTATTTCCTTACCTGGCTTACACACCCCATTGGATGTTTATGCAATAGGGCTATGAGCAATGCTTAATCATGGTTCCGGGGCTTCAGATACAGTGAATTATCCTTCTTGATATGACCTTCCTGTTCAAGTCCATCTTATGACTGTGTCATAACTATGTCTATGTCATAACTAATTACAACAGATCAATATAGTACATCAAGAAAGTTCAATCCTAATATGTATGTACAAAGAACAAACAGCTGCTTCCTTCCAGAGCCATAAAAATAGGGGAAGGAAGGAAGCAGCACAGCAGAGAAATATACAGCCTCAAAACTTCAGATATGTTCCGTATGCCTGCAAGATAACTTCCCTTCAGAATTACATGAAAGAACACAAGGGAAGCAAAGTCAAGATCAACATGCTATCCCGTGTTGTTCTCATGCTTCTCTTACTTTATCAAATTTGAAGGAATCCCTTCCACTGAAGCCTCACCTGAGCAGACACCCCCCCTCCAAGGGTGCATCAATAGTTAAGAGAAACAAGCAAAGTAACCTGAAATAAAGACACCAAAAGTGTAGAGAATGCTTCAAACAGGACTAAAACTACAGGTCGTCCTCGACTTACAACAGTGCATTTAGTGACCGCTCAAAGTTACAACAGCACTGAAAAATGTGACTTATGACCATTTTTCACACTTACAACCTCTGTAGCCTTCCTATGATCACATGATCAAAATTCAGATGCAGGCAACTGGTTTATATTTATGACTGTTGCTATGACCTAAGATCATGTGATTACCTTTTGTGACCTTCTCACAAGCAAACTCAAAGGGGGAAACCAGATTCACTTAACAACCATGTTACTAATTTAACAACTGCAGCGATTCACTTAACAATTCTGGCAAGAAAGATTGTGAAAATGGGACAAAAGTCACTTAACAAATGTCTCACTTAACAACAGAAATTTTGAGCTCAATTGTGATTATAAGTTGAGGAGTACCTGTATGCCTCTGTAGGAAAAATCCATCACAATAAAACAAAATAAATATGTCTTCAAAATACAAAACTTAAATACATCTTCAGAATACATCTTTATAATTTGTCCCCAAAATAAATATAGACTGTGGAAGATTATGGTAAACAACTGATACATTACAAACAATGCAGTTCATTATTGTGGAATAATAACATAACCAACAGCGGAAAATAAAAGCACATATTCCCACGTTGTATATCCTATAAATCCTGGAATTTTTAGAGAACACGTGATTGGATTTAGATAGTGTCTGAGAGAGACATGGACACAAGTCTTACTCTAAATTTGCTAGCCCATTTACAGTCACCTCCAGTAATTTTCCCTATCATTTGACTAAGCCTTCCAAGTGTTCATGTATAAGAATTATTGTTCAATTCTGGCATTGGCTGAATTAAGTTGTTCTAATGGGAATCCCACAAACATACCTTAGATCAGGGGTTCCCAACTGGGGGTGCGAGAACTTGGGTTTTCAAAATTATAGTGTATATGCATAATTCATTGCCGTTATTTCAAACTTTTGTAAAGGGTGTGAGAATATATCAGAATCGTTCTAGGGGTGCGGGGTATAGAAAAGGTTGGGAGCCGCTGCCTCAGATGGACATTAAGGCCTCAATCCACATGGATTGAAAGCTCATGTTGCCAGCATATGTACCAATAAAGCAAGAAATATGGTTGGGCATGTCATAAATAGTTTTGACATGAACATTTTTCTTTCTCTTCCCCTTAATAATCTTCTCTGAATTAATGACCTATCCATCTCCAAGTATTAAAAGTACCAAACAGAGGAATTGCAACCCTCAGTAAAACTGAGGTTACTAAATGGGATTACACAGGGATATCAGGCTTTCTCTAGAAAAGGGCAATGATAATTAGAGATGCCATGACTTAAACCTTACCACAGAGCTATTGAAATAATAATAACAATAATAACAATAACAATAATAGTTGGAATGGACCTTGGAGGTTCCAACCCCCTGCTCAGGCTGGAAACAAATGGTTGTCTAGTCTCTTCTTAAAAACTTCCTGTGTTTAGAGCATTCACAACTTCTGAAGGCAGGTTGTTCCACTGATTAATTGTTCTAACTGTCAGGAAATTTCTCCTTAGTTTTAGGTTGCTTCTCTCTTTGGTTAATTTCCATCCATTGCTTCTTGTCCTGCCATCAGGTGCACTCCCTCTTCTTTGTGGCAACCCCTGAGATATTGGAAGACTGCTACCATGTCACCCCTCGCCCTTCTCTTCATTAAATTAGATATACCCAGTTCCAGCAACTGTTCTTTATATGTTTTAGCCTCCAGACCCCTAATCATCTTTGTTGCTTTTCTCTGTACTCTTTCTAGAGCAGTGGTTCTCAACCTTCTTAACGCCACGAACCTTTAATACAGTTCCTCATGTTGTGGTGACCCACAACCCTCCATCCAGCTGGCTGGGGGGGGTATCAAAAACTTGACCTCAAAAAAAACCCCTCGAAAAAATGGGAAAGTATAGGTAGTCCTTGATTTACAACAATTCGCTTAGTGACTGAAGTTACAGCAGCACTGAAAAAGCGAATTATGATCATTTTTCACTTATGATTGTTGCAGCATCCCCAGGGTCATGTGATTTACATTCGGATGCTTGACAACTGATTCATACTTATGACGTTTACAGCAGTGTTTCTCAACCTTGACAATTTTAAGGCATGTGGACTTCAACTCCCAGAATTCCACAGCCACCAATGCTGGCTGTGGAATTCTGGGAGTTGAAGTCCACATACCTTAAAATTGTCAAGGTTGAGAAACACTGGTTTACAGTGTCCCAGGGTCACGTGTTCAATGGCCAGGGGGCGTGGCCAGCTGTTCACTCAGGTTGCAGAGTGCATGTGGGGGGGAATCTGTGGGTCTCTGGGATGGGACTGGGGTGGGTGCCTGCCTTCCTTCCCTCCCATTGTCCCTTCCTTCCTTCTTTCCTTCCTTTCTTTCACCTCCTTCATAGTCTCTTCCTCCTTCCCACCCTCTCCCATTGTCCCTTCCTTCCTTTCCTTCCCCTCCCTTAGTCTCTTCCTCCTTCCCTCCCTCTCCCATTGTCCTTTCCTTCCTTCCTTTCCTTCACCTCCTGCTTAGTCTCTTACTCCTTCCCTCCCTCTCCCATTGTCCCTTCCTTCCTTCTTTTTCTTTCCTTCACCTCCTTCTTAGTCTCTTCCTCCTTCCCACTCTCTCCCATTGTCCCTTCCTTCCTTCCTTCCTTCCCCTCCCTTAGTCTCTTCCTCCTTCCCTCCCTCTCTCCCATTGTCCCTTCCTTCCTTTCCTTCCCCTCCCTCAGTCTCTTCCTCCTTCCCTCCCTCTCTCCCATTGTCACTTCCTTCCTTCCTTCCTTCCTTCCTTCCTTCCTTTCCTTCACCTCTTGCTTATGCTCTTCCTCCTTCCCTCCCTCTCTCCCATTGTCCCTTCCTTCCTTCTTTCCTTAACATCCTTCTTAGTCTCTTCCTCCTTCCCACTTTCTCTCATTGTCCCTTCCTTCCTTCTTTCCTTCCTTTCCTTCCCCTTAGTCTCTTCTTCCTTCCCTCCCTCTCCCATTGTTCCTTCCTTCCTTCTTTCCTTCCTTTCCTTCCCCTCCCTTAGTCTCTTCCTCCTTCCCTCCCTCTCCCATTGTCCCTTCCTTCCTTCTTTCTTTCCTTCACCTCCTTCTTAGTCTCTTCCTCCTTCCCTCCCTCTCCCATTGTTCCTTCCTTCCTTTCCTTTGTCCCTTCCTCCCTTCCATTGTTCCTTCCTTCCTTCCCTCTCTCATTGTTCCTTCCTTCCCTCCCTCTTCGTCCCTTCCTTCCTTCCCCCCCTCCGTGCCCAGGAAGGGACAAGGGGAGGGGGATAGGCTGCCAGCGTGGCTGGGCGCTTTACTGCCGGCAAACCTGCCTGTGCACAGGCAGAGACAGAGGAGAGCTCACCCAACTCACTTGCTCAGCTTCTCCGAAAGACATGCTGCTTGCTAAGTTAGCAAAAGATCCAGGATCAGCTCAGGGCTACAGCTGATTCGCGCTTCTGCTAAATTAGCTGGCTTGAGCAAGTGTGCTGGGCAGGAGCCAAGGAGAGCAGCTACAGCTGCAGAAGCGCGGATCAGCTGTAGAGGCTCGCTGCGATCCTTGATAAGAGGGAGGGAAGGAGGGACAAAGAGGGAGGCGAAAGGAAGGAAGGAAGGAAGGAAGGAAGGAAGGAAGAAAGAAAGAAAGAAAGAAAGAAAGAAAGAAAGAAAGAAAGAAAGAAAGAAAGAAAGAAAGAAAGAAAGAAGGGGAGAGACGGAGGGAGGAGGAAGAGACCAAGTTCTAGCCAGGAGAGGCTTGGCAGCCCGGCTGCCGAGGAAAAGAAGAGCGCAAAGCCAAGGAGAAGAAGGTGGCGGTTTCCTCCCAAAGGGGGCTCCTTTTCTCCACCCCTTCCCTGGGTTTGTGGGGAATTTCTTGTCACCAACGCTGATAGGTGCTCTTGAGCCCGCCGCGAGCTTTCTCGCCCCTTTGCTTCTCCCCCCTCCCCCGCTTTCGTGAGGATTGTGGCGCCCTTGGGAAGTTTTGAAGCTTAGGAGAGGAGGAGGAGTCCCTTCCTCCTTCCCTCCCTGTCAAGCCCCGGCGGGCTCAACATGAACGGGCGGAGGAGGAGTCGAGGACAGGCGGGGTGGCAAAGGAGACCGGCGCTGTCGCCAGACCTCCTGGCTGAGAAGCGCAAGTTCGGGGGTCGCCAGCTGACCGGCGCAGGAGTTCAGCGCCGGCGGCCTCCACTTAGCTGACCTGCCTGCACAATAAGTCAATCCGGTTGCTGCACAATGAGTCCCTGGGGAGGGCGGGGCCTTGCTCTGCGCCTGCGCTCTTCATGCGCCCCCTGCAGGGCACATTTGGTAGACTTCGTGCAGACTGCCGCCAAGCAGCATATTTTCCACAAACAAGTGAGGTGAAGCGGAGGGGGGTGGGGGAGAAAAGGCGGTTGACAAGCCCTGCCTAAGACCATTGGAAATATGTATTTTCCTATGGTCTTAGGCGACCCCTTTGAAAGGCTTGTGCGACCCCCAAAAGGGTCGCGACCCACAGGTTGAGAACCTCTGTTCTAGAGTCTCAACATCTTTTTTACATCCTGGTGACTGAAACTGGATGCAGTATTCCAAGTGTGGCCTTACCAAGGCATTATAAAGTGGTATTAACAGTTCATGTAATCTTGATTCTATCCCTCTGTTAATGCACCCTAGCACTGTGTTGGCTTTTTTGGCAGCTGCAGCACACTGCTGTGCAAGTGTGCAAGAACAAGACTGACAGCTAGAATTCTTTTAATCTTTATTAGCCAAGTATGACTAATGTCTCCGGTGCATAAGCTCCCAGTCCTTAAAGAATATATTTATATATTGTGCACAAATTTTTTGTATGTATTCATCACAATCACAATCCCTATAACGGTATATATTCACTTTAACTGCTTTCATTAATAACATCCCAGTGGTAACTAAAAAGAGATTCATCCAGATGTTCGCCATAACAATTGCCCACTTACAGGCCTGATCATGTCAACTACACATGACAGCAGATTTTAAGGTATCAAGTCTCTATAAATAACTGCTATTTCCTCTGAAAGGATTGATCAAGTACAAAACTAGCTTTAAAACTGCCCTTTCTTCCACATTTGATTGATCCTCAAATTTATGGGAAGGAAAGGAGATAAACCTCTATATCTCAGGTTGTGTTCTGCAGTGGATGCAATATCCCAATAGGCTCTTCAAATTCAGAGGCAAGTCCTCATAGCATAACCTTGCTTTCTTTTCAAGAAATCCTTGGTGCTGGGCAATGGTTAAAAATCAACAGGCATTATTTATGCCTGCCCACAGAGAAAAAAAATAAGGAGATAGAGAAAGTCCATTTTATCTGTGGTGCAAAACAGGGCAGGGAAGTATTTTTCCCAGGATAAAAATAAAGAGATAAGAAAATTGCAGCCTTTCAGACAAGCCACTATTAAGACACAGAAACTTACTCTGCCTCTGCATCATTTACAATTCATGAAGCTTTTCTTTTTCCTAAGAGAAATTATTTTTGTCTACTAATAACCTGCCCATGCCACAGAGCCATTTAAGAAAGGAAAAACCTAGTTTGGCAAATAAACAAGAGGAAGTCATTTGCATTTGCTGTTCCAGTAGGGAAAGCTTTTGCGTACACAAAGATGAAGTGATAGAAAAAGTTTTTTTCCAATTAATGTGTGCCAGGCATCCATTAGAGCAGAGGTTCTTAACCTGGGCGATATTGCCCCCCAGGGGGCGATTTCATTTTTCAGGGGGGCGATGGAACAAAAAGGGGCGATGCGGGGGCGAAGGAACAAAAAGGGGGCAATATGGGGGCGATGGAGCGAGAAGTTTGGGGACACTTTTGAGACTTTTTTGTACAGCGAATCACTGTATATCTGTCATACAAAAACATCAGATCGCTCGCTATTAGTGGATTGAATTGTGTTTTCAAATGTTCCTCCAGCTAGCTTCAGTACAGAATGCCATACATATGTGAATATGCATTGCTTATCTTATGCGTGTTGCGCAGCAGCCTCTACCCATACCGTGGCGCGCCATTGGCCAGAATATGGGAGATATGGGAAAAAGACTGGAAATAAATTATTTGTATCGATATGTCCTGATGACAAGTTTAAAGAAAACAAAAAGTGTTTGCATAAATCAAAGAACTGTTTCCTATGTTGTGATTGAGAGGTTATGTTGGGGGAGGGGGTGATGACAACTTTCTCACTGGCTCAAGGGGGCAATTCGTTCAAAAAGGTTAAGAACCACTGCATTAGAATGAAGGGATACTCCTCCCTCCTTAAAAAAAAAAACTGCAAACATAAAAAATTGGGCAACTTTAAAAAAAGGAACACTTTGCACTTCTTAGACAGACAGTTTTACTTGGTAGAAAGAAGATCAAGAAAACATCAGCTGCTGGCTATTTCTCAGCATAAGACCTCAAAAATGGGGTGTGGAGGGACGGGGAGAGCTGCTATAACATCCACAACTAGACAAGCAAGCAGACAACGCCATTGGCAAGACAAACCCAAATCCCTTAAAATAATACACTGCTAGATTTTCAAGTCCTCCAGAACTCTCCAACTAGCCAGATGGCTTGCATTCCATGTTGCCCAATGAGAAGAAATGGGCCGATTAATTGATTGATTTTGCATCAATTACCCACGTTTATTTAAAGAGTCCCATACTGGAGAACTCATTCATTCTGGGTTTTACTAATCACAATTTATAAAGGTCCTAAAGATGTTGCGCAGCTGGGCAAATATGAGATGGAATGGCGGCATCCCTATGGAGAGAACAAGCTTCCACTCGCCCGAAGTCGGGGGGAGGGGGTTTGGGGAGGTGGGGGGAGCGAAAAAAAACGACAGGCATTCTTCCCCTTGGGCGCTTCCCCACCTGCAGAAGTGGCGAGACCGGCCGTCCCCCGCGTCACGCGCCCGCCACGAACACTTTCTTCGGCATCGTAGCGTTACCTTCGCAGAGGTAGCCGGCCAACCCTCAGATGAAGTCGATGCAACAGTGGCAAAAGGTGGGCTTGGTGAGGGTAACCCTCCTGAAGCAGTGCCCAGGCGGGCTGCCTCGAGCCGTCGGCGGCTGCTTTGGGGAGGCAGGCGGCGTCTGGGGCTGGTGGTAGTGGGTTTGCTGCAGAGAAGTCGAAGAGGACGACGACGACGATGGCGTGGGCAGCGAGCGGCTCTTGCCGCCTCTGCCCATCAGTGGGCTGGACGCCGGGCTCAAGCCGCGGCTGCCTCCCAGCAGGGAACGAGCTCCTTCTGCCATGCTGAGGCGGCGCGGCTACAGTTGCTGCCGGCGTTCCCGAACCAGCGCAGTCTCCCGTTTTTGGCGAAGGCGGCTTTCCCTCTTTTCCCAAGCGGACGCGGGGCGCTTGCTCGCTCCTACTCCGGGCCGCCTCCAGGGACGCGCCGCCAGCGGCAACAGCAACAGCAGCGGCGGCTCTAGCGAGACTTCCGCCGCGCTGCCAGGTAAGCCAAAAAGACGGGCGGGCCGTGGGCGAAGAGAAGGAGGAGGAAACCGAGGAGGGACGCAGAGGGCGGCGCTTGGAGGCGCGGACGGCCGCTGCCCGCCTTCGCCTCGAGTCCACCTCCTGTCGGGCCGGCCGCGAGTTGAGCCGGAGTCTGAGGAGAGGTGTGAGGAGGGCGCGGACGCCTCGAGCCTGAATGGCAGCATGGCTCCCTCGGTGCTAGCCTCTTGCGCGTCTCTGGGGAAATGAGCCCTCCAATCTGGATGCCGCACCGACCTCTGAGGTTAATCAGACGGAAGGACGTCAGGCACAAGTGGCGGGACCCACCTGACTCTCTCACCCACTTGGGCATACAGCGAGGGTGGCGAGGGCACTTGGGCTGAAAAAAGTCCACACGGAAGAACCACGCATAACTCTTGGCCCAACGTCCACTGTACTACCGTGGTCGTCTGGATTTTTTCAGGTCTGGTATGATGACCCTAATACCGGTAGTCCTCGATTTATGGCCACAATTAAGTCCACAATTTACGTTGCTAAGTGAAACATGAATTAAGTGAATTTTGCCCCATTGTACAACTTTTTTGCCACTGTTAAGTGAATCGTTGCAATTGTTAGGTTGGTAACAGGGTAGTTAAATGAATCTGGCTTCCCCATTGACTTAGCTTGTCAGAAGGTTGCAAAAGCTGATTGCAATGACCCTGGGACATTGCAACCGTCATAAATATGAAACTAGTTGCCCAGAATCTGAATTTTGATCATGTGACTATAGGGATGCTGCAAGAGTCATAAGTGTGAAAAATGGTCATAAGTCAATTTTTCACTGCCAAGGTTGACTCAGCCTTCCATCCTTCTGAGGTCGGTAAAATGAGGACACAGATTGTTAGGGGCAATATGTTGACTCTGTAAACCGCGCAGTGTTTCCCAAATTTGACAATTTTAAGGCATGAGGACTTCAACTCCCAGAATTCCACAGCCAGCAACGCTGGCTGTGGAATTCTGGGAGTTGAAGTCCACATGTCTTAAAATTGTCAAGTTTGGGAAACACTGGCTTAGAGAGAGCTGTAATGCACTGTGAAGCTGTATATAATTCTAAGTGCTGTTATTGTAACTTTGAACGGTCACTAAATGAACTGTTGTAAGTCGAGGACTACCTATAAAGGACGACTTAACTTTTTTCTTTTTCTTTTCTTTTCTTTTCTTTTTTTTTTTTGTGCTTCCAGTCAGGGTTGACTCCTGGCAACTTGTCTGGGCAAGTACCTGGAATTTTCTTGGCAAGGTTTTTTGGAAGTGGTTTGTCCTTGCCTTGAAAAATAGAGACTGGCCCAAGGTCACCCAGCTGCTTTTGTGCCTAAAGCAGGACTAGTACTCATGGTTTCCAGTTTTTTTTTAGCCTGATACTTTAATCCCTTCATCGGGGTGTCCAACCTTGGGAACTTTTTGTGGACTTCAACTCCCAGAATTCCCTAGCCAGCATCTCAACCTAACTTATAAAGATAGATATTTCCCGTTAACCAAGGGAGCCAGCATTGTCTGAAGATACTTCCATGGTCATGTGGCCAGCCTGACTATGCGCCAAGGTGCATGGAACACTGTTACCTTCCCACCAAAGAGGTACCTATGTATCTCCTTGCATTTGCATGCTTTCAAGCTGCTAGGTTAGAAATCCACAAGTCTTAAAGTTGCCAAGGTGGGACACCCCTGCACTACATCAACCTGGTCTCAACTTAACTTATAGCTTCTTGTTTTTCCCTTTGAAACCTGGGGCAATGATCACCTCTGAGGAGGCATTCAGAGATACAAGGTCCCCTCCAGGGTATTTTTAGAAAAAACAGCCTAAACATGCTCAGAGAATCTTCTGCTGAACACATATGTTTTAAAGCGTCAGATTTTTTTTTTTTAAAAAAAGATGCAACTGTTTTGGAACAATATGTGAATGGAAAACAATTGGGGGGGGGAGGTTGCATTTTGCCCATTCTCTGTTAAATTCTGTTTGAAGCAATAAAATGTTTAAACTGCATGTGCTAAATCGAGTGTGGTTATTGATTTATTTTAAGTTATTCTGGATAAAAATAAGCCTATCCTTCACAGATACAGGAACATTGACCTCACAATGTTTTAAAATACTGATCATCAGCATTTTTGTTTAACTAGTCATGTCCTAGTTCAGTTAATATTAAAAGGAGTAAGGAGAGGTTCATACATATCTTAGGGTCATTCTGCACAATTGCCAGTGGGCAACATTTCAGCCATCACATTTTACACCTCGAGTCAAGGGAATCATCTAAGCTCACCTCTATCCCAACAAGGAGTCGGTTGCAATAATACTTTCTGCATCACTTCAAAAGTGATGTTTCCATCCACATAGTTTCTCTGCCACCATCTAGAGCAGTGTTTCTCAACCTCAGTAACCTTCACGTATGTGGGCTTTTAACTCCCAGAATTCGCCAGTTAGGACTGGCTGGGGACTTCTGGGAGTTGAAGTACATAGATCTGAAAGTCACTGAGGTTGAAGAATAGTGATCTGATTCTACACAATGTCTGTGTTGCTGTTGGTCATTACCCAGAGCTGCTTGCATGCCCTCTCCTGGTCATTCTCCTGTTGCTGCCCTTCACAAGCCATTTTCAGGATATCTGAATCTGATGAGAAAAATACACTAGAATATTTTTTTTTTTTAATCTCAGGTTACTTCTTCAGTAAGTGGTACTCCTGATCTCATTCTATCTGCCCATGCAGCCAGTGTACCAATTCTTAAGTAATAGCTGAAGAGGACCTTTCTTTCTTTCTCTATTTAAGAAACATGGATGGATTACCAACAAGTGGACCTTCCTTGTTTTGGTTTTAAACTAGATGAAACTGACAAGTATTCTGCCAGTTTCCCACAACTGAGATCAGAATGTTGGTTGCTAAGCAAGGCAGTTGTTAACGTGAGTCGTGCCTGATTTCATGATCTTTTTTGCCACTGTTCAGTGAATCACTACAGTTGTTAAATGAATCAGGCGGTCGTTAAGCAAGTCCAGCTTCCTCCATCAGAAGCCTGCTGGAAAGGTTGCAGATGGCAATCAGATGACCCCCCCCACAATGCTGCCAATTGTTGTCAATAGATGTAAGTTGCTAATTTTGATCATGTCACTGTGGGGATGCTATGAAAGTTGTAACCAGAAGGTTTGGTCTTATCAGTGAGGAATACTGGAAAGTCACTTTTTTTTATTGCCACTCTAATTTCAAACAGTTGCTAAATAGATGGTTGTACATCAAGGACTACCTGGGTAGTGTTGTTTTTCTACCATTCTGCTGGTAAATGCATTGGATGGGAAGATGTCAGGTGTGAGGGATAATGAGTGGAGGTGGGTTCATTAAAAAAAGTTCTATCAATAAAAGCCCCATTCCTGAAGACCACTCATGGAAAAGAAAGCAACTGGCTTTTATTAAAGAAGTAGAGAACCAGGGAAATCAACCAATCAGGGACTGTAGCAACTGCTATTTAGAGAGAACACATGGCCAAAATTATTGCCAAAGCTTAAAATCCAGGCAGAAATTTTCTAAACTCTTCATTTCAACAAAGGAGACAAGCAGCTTAAGGCTACAATGCAAAATAAAATTTTAAGCTGCAAACCAAATTATGTTACGACTTACAGCTATGTGTGAACCATGTCACTATTTATTTCTGATTATACTGGAAACATCTTCATTTGCATATTCAAAAACCCTAAAAGATTTTAATATGTACAGCTTGAGAATATTAAAGTATCAGGTTGATTTCATGCAACTTCAAGAAATCAAAAGCTGAACTAAAATGATACCAGATCTTCGAAATTATTCATTGCAAACTCTATTATCTATAATACTACGTATAAAATAGATTTAAGCAATGAAAAAATCGGAACATGAGTGCATTATTTGAATATTCTGCATCCCTACAGTAGAATAAAACTCTTCTTAATTTGAAAAGTGGAACTATTCCTACGGATAGCTAGAGGTATGCTTTAATTCTGTGGGAGTGCAGAACTTGGCACCAACACAAAATATTTTGACTGCTTGAGCTTTCATCTGGAGAGGGGTAGATAGCTAGACAGAACAGGTTTCTGCTTTTGAAGATTGAGAAAAATGTGCTTGAAACAGGAGGGTAATAACTAATATTTTCCATGAAAAACTAGTGCTGCAAATCTCTAGTCTTAAAACATCCAATACTTCCACACACCCCTCAGGAGAAACATGCACATCTATCTTTCATTTTCTTGGCTGTTCATTACTTATCATTTGGTTACTCATTCAGTTTCAATGTGTGAATTTGCTTCTTTTAAAGTCTCACCTTCAGCATAACTAGGTTTTTTCCCAGAATGGCCGGGCAACCTAGAGTATCACAGGTAATACCAATCCTAGCAGGTGTAGCTTAGGGATATTGGGTAACCTCTTGTTTGTCATTTGCTATGTTGTCTAAGCCCTGTAATAGATAGATCACACATACATATAGTATAATGTAATAGTGCAAAATATAAATCTGGTTTCTGATTTATGTGCCTCCTGAAAACAAAAAACAAAAAAAAGATCAGAGAAAATAGATTTTGCTTTGGCTTTTTACCCTTGTTAAGCATTTATTATAAAAAAAGGAATGATTAATCATACAAATAATTTAAAAACCTATATTAAAGTACACTGAACTTCAAAGTAAATTTTCTGAATTTTGGAGAGAGAATTAAGCTTATTGTCTACCACACTGGATGGGTAACATTTCGATGTAGAATCTATAAATCAGCTTAATTTTAACACGTTCTACCTTTCCTTCAGTCAGGAGACCATGAGATTACTGAAACAAGTTTAATGCTCAGATATCCTTCCTGCTTTTACAATGATGTAAATCATACATTGCCATCATTAAGCCATGGTTTGAAAGACAGTGCTGAAGTGTGACTTTATACATTCCTCTTTTGTTTCTATAAATCAAGTTGTTGACAACCAGCTCTATAGCCTGATAGCACAGGTGATCCTCAACAGTTTGTTTAATGACTGTTCAAACTTAAAATAGCACTGTTATAACTGTCTTTCAAACAACCGTTGCAGCATCCCCATGGTCACATGATTAAAATTCAGCTGCTTGGCAACTGACTCATATTTATGACGGTCGCAGGGTCTTGAGGTCATGTGACCATCTTCTGTGACAATCTGACAAGCAAAGTCAAGAGGGAAGCCAGATTCATTTAACAACTGTGTTACTTCCACAACTGCAGTGATTCGCATAACGGCTGTGGCAAGAAAGGTCATAAAATGGGGCAAAACTCACTTTACAAATGTCTCACTTGGCAACATAAATTTTGGGTTCAGTTATGGTTGTAAGTTGAGGACTACCTGTAGAA